AAAACTTGGGACCAAGGAAATCCAGAATATTTATACTTGGCAAAAGGTAGGTAGTGTAGATATTGACAGTCGAACCATGCGAAACAATTAGTTTATTTTTATTCGTGTTCGTGCTTTTATTTGTCATCATACACAAATTAACATCACAGAATTCGGTTAACAAATTCTATAATTTTACAGCGACACTTATTAACCTTGTAAAATGCAAACACATTCCGAATTGGAGCAGCGGCCTATGGTATTGCCATACTCGGAACAAGCTTGGTGGCACTTTCCGAACGTGAAAGGATGTTCTTGCAGACAGTCGTAGGTGCCGGGAAGTTCTGTGGGTAAATGGAAAATGTACATTGAGGCTAATTTGTTAAAATGTTAAGTAGGCTGTGGGGAGACCGAAATTGTTATCAGAACTGTTTGGTTATTCTAGGTTATGTTAGGTTAATTAGGTTAGGTTAGATTGTTATTTTAGGTTAGGTTAGGCTTGGTTAAGTTGGGTTAAGCACGGCTTAGGTTATTTTGCATAGGAGCCGGGATAGCTCAGTCAATATAGTGACTAGCTACGGACTGGGCGATCGGGGTTCGATCCGCGACGGAGGCAGAGGATTTTTCCTCTAGCCTCTGCGTCCAGACCGGTGCTGGGGCCCACCCAGTCTCCTGTCCAGTGGGTACCGAAGTCCTATCCCGGGGATAAACACGGCCGGGGCGTGATCCTGACCACTCACTCCATCTGGTGCCGAGATCAAGAAAAAGTAGGAGTTATACCTGCGCTCCCCCCAAGCGCCTGCATTGGCGTGTTGCGGAACAGCTTTAATTTTACTTGTAAGTTATTTTGCATATTGAGGCAAGGGTAAGGAGAAGATGAGTGGGTTTTGTGTCGACCAGTTTCTCTTGACACTGCCAATAATTTTGAAAGTTGCTAATTATCGTATGCATTGTAGGGATATTTTATTAACTTTGATTGATTTTGACGTTTCTACTTTAAGTAGGATTTGAGGTTCTCACGACCGTGAGTCCAAAAATGGCCGGTGTGTGGGTTGCCCGTGTATTTTGGTGGAAATTTCAAACGTTTCAGAGGTTCTTGCTGTGACGACTCATCGCGCTAAAGATGGAGGCAGCAAGTACCTCTGAAACGTTGGAATACCTCTAACATACCGCAAGGAACAACAATCCAGAAGACGCCATCTCCCCTCTTTAAGCTAGTTCTGAATGAAGACATAAAGGACTGGAGCCAGATGTGTGCATGCATTTATCAGAATGGATGGCGTTGCCAGTGACGCAACGAGCCAAACAGTGGAAATCCATTTTTGCCGAAGGAGTAATTTCAGTGATCGCCACCAGGTGTTTTCCGAGGTTTAGCACAACATAAATGTCAGGATACCACTCATGAAAATGTGTATCAGTGTTTAGAAGACCTTGAGATTTAATTACATTTATCGTTTGGACGTTTCCGTTGCTTCATTTCGCCAAAACGCCAAATTGCTCAGTTCGTCATTGCGTTAGTGTAAAGGCCAATAGCTTCCTTGAATATCGTGTTCTGATGATGTGGGTTGGATTGGATTGATCGGACGAAGATCCGTTTGTTAACTTTTGTTTGAATGGTATGAACACTGGGGTCATTTAAAACAAATGACTTTCTTCACCAGCAGACGACTGCTGTTCAGTTGGTTCTAGGATAAGCTAAGAAGTAGAGACGACGTTTTCGAAGCCATTTCATGGGCGGACATAATCGTTGGTACCTATGTTAAAAAGAATATATAATTTTTTTTTATTGTGTGATTTTTCGTTTTATCGTCGTGTACTTTCCTACCTTTGTTTAACATCACCGTGTCCTAACATTTGCGTTTTTCCCCATCAGAGTGTGCTCTGGTCTGCTGGATTTTTTTCTGGCTTTAAAAGTGGGACAAATATCTGACACATGTTCACGGCTCTGATTTCCTGTTTCATTATTATATTCTGTCATTAGTCTACATTTTTATGTATATCTGAGTTTTGTTTTTATTCTGCTAATAAATAATTTTTTTTATTTGTGTTCTGTTCCATAAATGATAAGTTTGTAAAGGGTCTGGGCCTACGTTTGTTTCAACTGTTATCCTAGAAGCGAGCACAAATGCCAATTTCATTAAAATGCACTTCCGCTCTATGTAAGATACGAACATTAACGCTCAAGTAGGTATTTAACATGTATTTGAAACTTATGTAATGTATTAAAACTGGGACATGTATGGCCACTCATAGTTAGAAATTTAGTTTCTGGATCAAACATCGTAAAGCATACAAAAAAGGCCGGTTTCGACCGAGGGCCCTGAGCTTGGCATCCCTCCTGTTGAGACGAGGTAATTCACACTGCAGTCAATTACACGGATGTAGGCTTAATTAGTTATAACATTCTTCTGGATTATAATAGAAGACAATGATGGAATTCACTTACTGACACTCCAGTTAGAAAAGGAAGATTCCTGAAACAATTGACGTCAAATGTTTAGAATATCACACTCATTTGAATTTGGAATGCAACACATTTCATACTAGACATTTCTCGAAAGTCATTCTTGGGCGTCACAGAGTGATGACAGACCCACGTAACAAAAGAAGCTGACAAACTTCATCTTCATCTGGTTTGGTATTCTTAGATTACCTAATGAAGTAGGTTGAAGGAAACAAGTTTTATTGGTGGCCATGCTGCATTCATGGAAAAGACACAAATTACATGTAAATCCATGATTTTTCATTATGAAGAAACATATATTTGAACGCTAAGCTCTGAACGGTGGGCAGAAATTGCTGATTTTGGAAAATATTTTGTAGATTAAGGCTTTGCTTACCTGCATTATCACCATAATGCAGCACAGAAGGACGAAGCGTACAAAAATCTTCATTTCTGCTGCCCTGTAGCTGTGAGAGACAGACCTGAAACAAGGGAATAGATTCCATATTGTGATACGTATGTATCAAATGGACCGTGCAATAGCTCAGGCCGTCAGTCTCCGGGAGAGTGGCTCTGAAACAGTTTTTCTCTCCGGGTCCTTCGTTTCGACTGATCAATAACCCACCTGTTATCCGTAATCACTCGTTTATCATCCGAGGTCTGGACAATCAGCTCCTCGGCGGCAGCGTTTCCACAACGACAGATGACATCCTCGACCATTCATTATAACAGTTACGATGTGACTGCTTTAATGAATCTGCTTGTTGTGTGCTGATTACAAGACCGCTATTGTGTGAATTGAAAGAAAGAAATTGGATATAAAAAAATTGAATTAGAAGGGAGCCTCAGGTTGGAGGTCTGTGATGTATGTGCGTATGTGGCATTTACAGAAATGGGAAGATTGTAAGTCTAACATTAGACTGAACAACGTTACAAAATTTCGAAAAGTACAAAACTTTTAAAATCTGCTTTCACAGTTCTAAGACTTTACTGACTGCAAACCCACAAAATTCCCGAAATTAAAAGTTTCTCAAAATCGAAATTTATAGAAATTAAAAATTTTCCAACCTCTTGGCATAATACTGTCTTAATTTTTAAAATTATCAATATTTCGAAATTTAATGTTTAAGTTCGCATACCTAGAAAATTTTAAAACTTCCAAACAAACAAATTTATAATAAGAAATGGGACAAAATATGAAAGGAAATAATGTTTTAAAATATGAAGTATTTATTCATTTTCATTTTTCAGTATTTTTGAAAGTCCGAAAGTTTTCAAAATTATAAGACCGAAAAATCATTATCTAGTCAATACTCATATTCGAAATTGAAAGATTTTAAACTTCAAATCTCGACATTCATCGCAACCTAACATGTCTTAAACTAAACCGAAACACACAAAATGAATAATTATCTAACCTAACCTAAGCTGACTTAACATAACGTAACCGACCGAAGTTTAGCCGAGAGTAACCCAACTTTACCTAATCTGTTCTATCCTCACTTAGTTTAACCTGATCAAACAAAGCCTAACAAGTAAAAAACCTAACCAAAGCAAAGAAAATTCAACGAAACCACATTGTAAATTCAATATTCAAAATTGGAAAATTCTTCAAGATCACTACACCGTGTTTCAAAAGTAGCTTTACAACTTCGCAGGAGAATATAAGTTTATTTAAAGGACGCGCGCAATATTTTTAAATACACAAATTTAGCCAGACACATCGAGTTTCATGCACATAAACTGTAGTATCGAAAACCGTGTTTCTGAAGACGCCGTGGAACAAATTAGGGAGAGCTTCGCTCGAAGTCCACGCAAGTCAACGAGAAGGACATCTCGGGAAAGTGGGATTCCACATGTGACTGTGTGGCGAGTGTTACGAAGACGTTTACACTTAAGAGCGTGCAGATTATCCATGGTGCAAGCCATTTCAGATGGCGATAAACTGGATCGTAAGGAATTTTGTATGGAAATGTTGCGGTGGGTTGAAGACGACACAAGGATTTCTGGACTCTGTAATTTTGAGTGGCGAAAGCATGTTCCATGTCACTGGTAAGGTCAACATCCACAACTGCAAGATTTGGGGTAGTGAAAATCCACGTGCCTTCCTGGAACATGTTCGTGACAGTCCAAAAGTTAATGTGTTTTGCGCCCTCAGCAAAGATAAAGTGTACGGCCCCTTCTTTTTCATGGAGAAGACCATTACCGGCATTGTGTGTCTGGACATGCTCCAACAGTTCCTTATTCCTCAAGAAGATGAAGACGAAGATGACCAGGAAGGACGCGTTCACTTCCAGCAAGACTGTGCATCCCCTCATTACCACGGAGAAGTCCGCGAGTACCTCAACAACCGTTTCCCAGGTCGGTGGATTGGTCGGGCCGCACCAATAGCATGACCACTTCGTTCCCCGGATCTAACACCTTTAGATTTTTTCTTGTGGGGATTTGCTAAAGATCGAGCGTACGTGCCACCCTTACCTGCAAATGCGGCCGAACTCCGAACTCGAAATACCGCCGCAGTTGCTGAAGTGTCACCAGAGATGCTACACCACGTGTGGCAAGATATTGACTACAGATGGGACGTCTGCAGCATAACAACTGGAAGTCGCATTGAACCATAAACGTCAGATGGACATAAAACTTTAAGTGTTTGACTACATTTATATGTTCTGAAATTATATGTTTCTCCTATCAGTTCACCAATATCTCTCCCTCAAATTGTGAAGCTACTTTTGAAACACGCTGTATTTCCTGAACTTAAAATTTGTCAAAAATTCCTTTCACACACAATTTTATAATTTGTAATTTTTTAAAAAATTGAAATTCCTCAAGATTAAAATGTGTAAGATGTTGAGAATTATTATTTTGTGCATCTCAGAATTTTCCAACATTTCAAAAGTCTCGTAATGTTTAATTTTTAAATATTTCAAGTTTTCGAAATTTAAAAAAAAATCAGTTTAATTGAAGCTAAAACAAAAAATTAGAAATTGTAAGAATTTTAAAATATCCACAATTACAAAATGTCGAAAATTCTTGGACAATTTGAAATCAAAATTTAATTCACAATTTCACTATTTCAAATCGTAAGATACTAAATTCGGCCAAGGACAGGGTCCGGTGGAGAGCTTCGTATAATTCGGTCATGAAACTTCGGGTTCGGTAAGCCATCTAGTTAGTTAGTTATTTAGTTAGATCAGTTCAGGTACCATCGAATCGGGACCGACCCCTAGTGATGTTATGAACAATATCCCTTCATCCTCTTCTGTCTCTAGTAACTGTCCTCAATGCTTCCATGGCCTTTCCACAGAGTTCCCTGATTCCATCAATCCATTTCATCCTGGGTCTTCCTCTGTGTCTACTACCTTCCACTTTTCTAAGCATTATCGATTTTTCTAGACTGTTATCGGCTCACATGATATGACCAAAGTACTTTAGTCTTAATTTGCATATCGCGGCCTCAAGGGAACAGTCATGCCTAATGTGCCCAAGAACTCATCTTTTTGTTCTCTTGGCAGTCCATGGCACTCTTGAAAGTCGCCTCCAAGCCCAAAGCTCAAATGCACCATTTTTTTTCTTTCCATCCTCCTCATTGTCCAGCTTTCACATCCATAAGTTACTACAGGGAAGACCATTGCTTTGATGATTCTTATTTTTATTTTTAGTTCAATGTCCTTATCTTTCACAATATTTTCCAGATTTGTCATTGCTCTTTTTCCCAAAATTATTCTTCTCTTCACTTCTTCAGCACAATCACCATTAATATTAATTATAGTACCTAATATAATAAAACTATTAACCACTTCTATTTCTTCGTCATCAATTTTAAAATGTCTAAGGATAGAAGTTGACATTATTTTTGTTTTATTCAGGTTTAAGTTTAAGCCAAATCTTTCCCTTGCTGATTTAATCCTTTTGATGACATGACCCAATCCGTCTTTAGTTTCTGACAGTAGAGTTGTATCGTCTGCAAATCGTAGATTGTTGATAGTTCTTCCTGCAATGCGAATGCCTGTTGCCATTCCATCAAGACCTGCTTCTCTAAATATGGACTCACTATATAAGTTGAAAAGGTATGGAGAGAGAATACATCCCTGTCTCACACCCTTGCTTGGTTTGAACCATTCAGTCTCTGCAGATTCAATCCTCACTGTAGCTTTCTGGTCGATGGGGTAGAGATTTCTCATGAGGATTATCAGACGAGCTGGTACTCCCACAGTTCTTAATGTATTCCACATCTTTTCATGATCTACATAGTCGAAGGATTTACTGTAATCAAAAAGACAAAGAAATACTTCTTTATTAAACTTTCGACCCACCATATTTTGGCAATCTGGTCTCTTGTACTCCTTCCCTTCCAAAAACTCGCCTGTTCCGTTGTGGATATGGATATAGTCTTTTTTTATAATTTTGAGTAACACTTTAGTCGCATGAGAAATCAATGCTATACTTCTATAATTATCGCATTGTGTGGGATCTCCCTTCTTGAAAAAAGGGATAAACACTGATCTTTTCTTTTCTGTAGGCCACGTGGTTGTGATTCATATTCATGTTAAAACTTTAATAGAATCTTCCTCTACGACCCTAAACAATTCGATTGGTATCTCATCTACTCCAGAGGCTTTTTTATTATGTAGTTGTCGTAATGCCCACCTTACTTGACATTCTAGGGGTACTGGCTCCATTATATATTCATCTTTTACCTCAGAAATTTAAGATATTTGACAATCACGGTTGTACAAGCTTCTGGTGTATTATTTCCATCTTTCTTTCATTTTCTCCGCTTCAATAAGGTCATTTCCTTGTTTGTCTTTAATTATTCCAAACCTAGGTGTGAATTTAACACAGATTTCTTTTATTTTCTTAAATAGATCTCTGGTTATTCGTTTTTTGTCATTTCCTTCTATTAGCTGACATTCTTGATTAAGGAATAATTCCTTGTCTTTCCTTGCTTGCCGTTGAAATTCTGCATTCAATCGTCGTGTCTCCTGCCGGCTTTCATTCTTCTTCTTTCAGTAGCGACTCGCACAGCTTCATCTGAAAGCCACTTGGATTTTTTCCTTTTCTTAACTCTGGGTATGTGTTCTTTAGTTTCTGATGTTATAATAACGTTTACTTCCTCCCATAATTCTTCAGGCTCTGTTTAACAAATGTAAAGTTCACTAAACCTATTACTCACATTGATTTTATACTCTTGTTCTATGTCATTTAGATAATTTCTTGTAAGTACTCTGGTTTCATTCAGCTTTTTTAGTTTAATGCAAAGTTCTGCTACCACAGTCAGCTCCTGGGAGTGTTTTTGCTGACTGAATTACCCTTCTCCATCTTTTGTTTCCAATAATATAGTCAATTTGATTTCGGTGTTGTCCATCAGGTGATGTTCATGTATATAGTCTAAGTGTATGTTGCTTATAGCAAGTATTAGCTGTAAGCAATGAATTTTCAGCACAGTACTCAATAAGTCTATATTCTGCAGAATTTCGTATTCCCAGACCAAATCTTCCTGTAATTACTGTCTCTTCATTTTCTCCTGTTCCAGCATTCCAATCTCCAATTAGTAACAGTAGATATTTTTTGACACTCTATTAAGTGTTTCTTGTAGTGTCCCCCCCCCAATTAGTTAGATTCTAAATTCAAATTTAGGCATTTACCATAACCCCAAACATTCTCAAGAGAAAGTAAGGAACATGTGTTAATGTACGAAAACACAGACGGAATAATAAAAAGTGCAGAATGTGAAAAAGAATCAGAGAGGACTAGCATTTTGGAAGACGAAGATATGTGTATTTAAGTGGAACTTGCAGAACTTTGAAGTTTGTGTGAAAAGAACTTCAGAGTGTAATGAATTCTACAGAGAGTTTTTCTGCATTACACGGAACTAATGTGAGTGTTTCTTCTGTGCACAAAAAAGAAACCAAACAAAAGAAGTAAACATGTTTATTTGCATATTGGTTTATGGTCACTTTGTCTTTGACTTATGGCCCACAAGATCACCTGACTTCAACCCGCCTGGTTTTAACGTATGGGACCATCTTGAGAAAGCATTTTGTCTTCTGCGACAGTGACTGACGTAGCAGAAATAAAAGAGGCTGTGGAAGACTGATGTGAGTCGATTCGTAAGACGTTTCGTAGGAATGTAATGCAGTCGTCTTTGGTACTGAATTACGGAGCGTGAAATTAGTTCATTTTTGTGCAAATATCATTGTTAGTTCAGAAGAGAAAATACTCTCTTACCTGTGGTGTGAGATGCGAGATGTCGTGCGTGAACAACAGACGTTCTGGTGGTTGGTGGTCGTTGGCTCGTCTTATATTCACAAAATTTATCGAAGTGGGACAACTTATCTTTTTAGAGTAAGGTTACGGTAACAACACGACGGGGAGTAATAAACTTTATCTTTCTCTGATTGTATACGACTTATCGTTGAATTGTTTTCGCTCTCACAGATGTAGTTATTTTCAGTGTTAATTTGGTAATATGTGATAAAATATTTTACTTAAAATATCCATAAAAGATTATCAGTTGTGTGGAAGGCAACGCCATTATTTAATAAGTGATAATTTTGTTGTTGTGGAAAGTCCTTCCATATAAATTGTTGAAGATCGAAGTCCTACCTTCTATGACGCACAGTTCTTCAATTCTCTCACACGTGGCTGTTGTGAGCGGCTCACGAGAGCTTAGGCGACTGCTGGGGACAGAATTCACAGCAAAACTCTTAGTGCCCTTTCACACGAGTTTCGGTGAACTTGAGAGCCAGGCTCATGAGCCCTTATGAATCTCTTCCTGCGTCCATTAAGGACCTCTGAAACGTCGGTAAACTTCTACAGGACACACGGCGTATTAAATATCAACAGAAACCGATAGACAAAAAACGCGAAATTATCCAGAAAGAACGACAAGTACTCTAGAGAAAGCGTTCCGAAAGGAGCCCGTTGCTCTAGTATGAACATAATGGTTTTATAGCGAATTAATATGCAGCGAATGAAGTAGGATGTAAGGAAGGTGGTGGGGTAGCTATTTCAGTGAAGTGGCTGGAGAGCCAAAGACGATTTGTGGCAGAGACAGGAATGTTCTTTATTCAACTTACTACTACACGAAGAATGGGTATGCGGCCCCCACAAGGTGTTATCCAGTAGGCGACTGGATGTCTCTCCCTAGAGGCAGAGAAGCTGGATGATACAGCTGTGACATCATTCATGGAAACTGAAACCTTAAAACTAGGCTAGTTTGCTTACTTCCATCGGATAATGTCATAAGGAATTATCTTCTGGGGAAATTCAATAGTCAGCAGAGAAGTGTTTAACATTCAAAAGAAAATTATGAGAGTAATGCCAGGCACTAGGAGAGCCTCACGTAGGTAATTGTTTATGAAACGTAATAATCTTTCGTTGGCCGATGCATTGTAACTCAAATTATCATCATTTTTGTTGGACAACATGGAAGATTTTCAAACAAATTTATAAATTCACATTACAAATACAAAGCAAAAGTGGATACGCTTTCATGTGTAATTACGTTTGCTGCAACTCTGTAAATTACTGTCATAATTACGTAATTTACAATTGTATTAGAAACACATTGTATTTGTGCTGTGACATGTTCTGCATTCTTCGCCTGGGACTATAAAATATCTATTTTTTTCTAACCTCCATTTAACGTTGAGATCTGGAATGTGTGAATATTACTTCCAAGTCCTCTGCAGGTCTTTACAACACATGCAGGCATAATCCGCATAACAGGTTAACAGAACGTCCATGAGAGATTGGAACAGATGCACATTGGAAGACTTAGTGTACGACATAAATGTTTCCTTCCCTGCACGGATTGTGCTGTAACATGCAGGAAACCAGGTGGGGTTCAATTAAATTACCCAAAACATACAGCACAGCTAGAATTTGGGCCTGGTAAAAGATGTAAATTAATTTATTTTACCGATGCAACAGCAGCTGGTGATGAATCCTAAACTCCACCAAAAGTTGGTGATCTTGAATCATGAGACAGGAAAACTATTATTATGGAGGCTCGCCGAATTAGGTTTGATTTAAGGTTGGCTCTACATTCACCCCAGAATGTTATAATTCCCACTGCATTTGCGGTCAACATTGGTTCCCCATCATCCACCACACTTCTCAGGTTTTTCCAGTGGTTTGGTCACAGAACATTACCGACTGAACCGAGAAACATCAGACTTCATTATACGGTGCGGATGACACCGTCGAGGACTTGGAGAAGATACAACTCAGTCGGGTCCTACGAGGGGAAAACGAGCGTGGGTTGGTTCCGAGTGACGATCAGTTTGGGTTTCGAACGAGACAGTGCAAGACCCTACAACGGGGCCAACTTATTCAAAGGTGTTTGCTTGGTTGGTTGCATCACACCCCCGTTATATTTTTAAGGCTCGGTTTAACAAATCCAGGAAATTATTTCATGCGGAGAAATGGCTAAACTTTCTAGAGGCGATATTCTACTCTTGTGGTGGACTCCGCCCTCACCTTCGTGGTTGCTTTACTTGGGCCAAGGCCTGTTTGGCAAGTGAAGTTTCAGGCGTACATGAAGGTGAAATTTGAAGCGACGTCCAAGTCAAATTTCTAAATTTTTACGTCCCGAAGAAGGAAACGAAATTCATTGCCTCAACCAACGCGTACGGTCTGTGTGGAATATGCATGTCGCTTTATTATTTACAAAGTTACGCCGTCTAGTGAGAAAACGAGAAGACGGTTCCGTAGGTAAAACTTGGGACCAAGGAAATCCAGAAAATTTAAACTTGGCAAATGGTAGGTAGTGTAGATGTTGACAGTCGATCCATGCGAAACAATTAGTTTATTTTTATTCGTGTTCGTGCTTTTATTTTTCATCCTGCACAAATTAACATCACAGAATTCGGTTAACAAATTGTTATAATTTCACACCGACGCTTCATTTATATAAATTACAAACACATTTTTTTTTGATGCAGTGACCTACAGTATATTTGTTCTTGACACAGGCTTCGTCGCAATCCCCGAACCTTGGACGATCGTCTTCCAGACAGTCATAGGGTTCATCAAGTACTGTGGACAAATAGAAAATTTACATTGAGGCTAATTTTTTTAAAATGATACAAGTTAATTTAGGTTACGTTATTTTAGGCTAGCTTAAGTTGGGCTAAGCAGGGCTAAGGTTACTTTCATATTGAGACGAGGGTAACGGGAAGGTGAGTGCGTTTTGTGTCGACCAGTTTCTTTTCCGTAGGTAAAACTTGGGAACGAAGGAAGGCCTGAAAAGTTAACCGTGATAAAGGATAGGTAGTGTAGATGTTGACAGTCGAGCCATGAGGAAAATTTAGTGTATTTTATTTGTCATCCTGCACAAATTAACTTCGCAGAATTCGGTTAACAAATTGTTATAATTTCACACCGACGCTTCATTTCCATAAATTACAAACACATTTTTTTCTGATGCAGTGACCTACAGTATATTTGTTCTTGATACAGGCTTGGTCGCAATCACCGAACCTGGGACGATCACTTTCCAGACATTCATAGGGTTCATCAAGTGCTGTTGGAAAATAGAAAATTTACATTGAGGATAATTTTTTTAAAAATGTTACAAGTTAATTTAGGTTACGTTATTTTAGGCTAGCTTAAGTTGGGCTAAGCAGGGCTGAGGTTACTTTCATATTGAGACAAGGATAACGGGAAGATGAGTGCGTTTTGTGTCGACCAGTTTCTCTTGCCACTGCCAATAATTTTGAAAGTTGCTAATTATCGTATGCATTGTAGGGATATTTTATTAACTTTGATTGATTTTGACGTTTCTACTTTAAGTAGGATTTGAGGTTCTCACGACCGTGAGTCCAAAAATGGCCGGTGTGTGGGTTGCCCGTGTATTTTGGTGGAAATTTCAAACGTTTCAGAGGTTCTTGCTGTGACGACTCATCGCGCTAAAGATGGAGGCAGCAAGTACCTCTGAAACGTTGGAATACCTCTAACATACCGCAAGGAGCAACAATCCAGAAGACGCCATCTCCCCTCTTTAAGCTAGTTCTGAATGAAGACATAAAGGACTGGAGCCAGATGTGTGCATGCATTTATCAGAATGGATGGCGTTGCCAGTGACGCAACGAGCCAAACAGTGGAAATCCATTTTTGCCGAAGGAGTAATTTCAGTGATCGCCACCAGGTGTTTTCCGAGGTTTAGCACAACATAAATGTCAGGATACCACTCATGAAAATGTGTATCAGTGTTTAGAAGACCTTGAGATTTAAGTACATTTATCGTTTGGACGTTTCCGTTGCTTCATTTCGCCAAAACACCAAATTGCTCTGAGCGTCAATGCGTTAGTGTAAAGGCCAATAACTTCCTTGAACATCGTGTTCTGATGATGTGGGTTGGATTGGATTGATCTAGCGAAGATCCATTTGTTAACTTTTGTTTGAATGGTATGAACACTAGGCTTATTTAAAATAACGGACTTTCTTCACCAGCAGACGACTGCTGTTCAGTTGGTTCTAGGATAAGCTAAGAAGTAGAGACGACGTTTTCGAAGCCATTTCATGGGCGGACATAATCGTTGGTACCTATGTTAAAAAGAATATATAATTTGTGTGCACTGTTATCCCACAAGTACAAACAAATTGAATTTAATGAAAACGCAATTTTACTTTAATTAAGATAAGAATGATGACGCACAAGCACGTATTAAACAAGTATTTGACAAATTACGTAATGTAGTGAACATTTGAGATCTGAATCGTAAAACGCAAAACACACAAGAAGACCGCATGCCCCCGTTAGCCCAGAGTTTTCATGCCTGCCTTTGAGGCAAGCTCTCTCACTCTGTAGTAGAATTATTTAGACTTATACCGTTCTTCAGGACTACAATAGAAGGCAGTTGTATACATTACTTACTGATTTTCTTGGTAGCGCTGCACTGCTCCTGAAACAATCACGTCGAATGTTCAGAAAATCTCACCAATTTGCATTTGGAATGTAACACATTTCACATTAGACATTTATCGAAAATCATTTCTGGGCGTCATACAATGATGACAGACCCACGTAATAGGGGAGTTGATAAACTCCATATTCATTTGGTATTCTTATACAGGGCCAGTCTAAATGATGTTTCCGATTTGAAAGACATTCTACACACGTTTAATGAAATTCAGATGCACAAAATTGGTACCGATGGAAAGAGAAACTCTCCAAGTTTTGTTTCAATACATTACAGGTGTACAATGTGAGCCCCACTGGATTTATGCGGGCTGCGTGTGAAACTTGCACAGACCCGTTCCACTGTTTCCTTGCTTACTGACGGGCGGCCGATTGACTTTCTCTTACAGATTCAGCCCTTTTCTTAAATTCGGAATACCACTTACGAATTGTATGCCCACTGGGTGGATCTGCCGCAAACTTGGTCGAAGATGCCATTGAACACAAATAACAGACCGGTGAACGTGAAAATCCAGGATACAGAAGGCTCCTGTCTTCGATGGCAGCCATTTTTACTCATATCGCCTCTGACGGCGAACAGTGTTACTACGCGGCCGCGAAATATACCAACATAAACATGAAGAGTTTCTCTTTCCATCGGTTCTAATTTTGTGCATCTGAATTTCATTAAACGTGAGTAACATGTGTTCCAAATCGGGAACATCATTTAGACTAGCCCTGTATTACCAAATGAAGTTTGTAGAACTGAACAGGTTTAATTGGTGGCCATGCTACATGGATTGTAAAGAAACAATGGACATGTGAATCAGGAAGAAATTTCATAATGAAAGCACATATTTTTGAACGCTAATCTCTGAACGGTGGGCAGAAATTGCTGGTTTTTGGAGGATATTTTGTAGATTAAAGGCTCTGCTTACCTGCATTATCACCATAATGCAGCACAGAAGGACAAAGCATACGAAAGTCTTCATTTCTGTATCTTCGAAACTGTGAAAGAGAGACCTGAAACAAAGGAATAGATTGCACATTGTGATACGTATGTATCTAATGGGCCGTGCCATGGCTCAGGCGGTCAGTATCCGGCAGGATGGCACTGAACCAGGCTTTCTCTCCGGGTCCTTCGTTTCGACCGCTCAAATATCCCACCGTCAAGAGTAAACCAACTTTAAATAATCCGTTCTCTCCTCACTTAGTTTATCATGACTAAACAAACACAAACGTGAGGCCGAAGTAAATTTAAGGAAACCACATTTTAAATGGAATATCTAAAATCTGAAAATCAGTATCAAAATTTCAACTTCAAATTTTTCAAAATTCAAACAATCACTATTTTAAAATTGAAATTCCTTAAGACTAAAAGGTGTAAAATGTTTAGAATTAATATTTTAGACATCCCAGAATTTTCCAACATTTGAGAAGTCTCATAATTTTGTAATTTTCAATGTTTCAAGATTTGAAATTTTCAAAAATTCAGTTTAATCGAAACTGAAACACAAAAAAATTTAGAAATTATCAAAATTTTAAAACTTCCACGAGTTAAAAATACCCAAAATTCTTGGACAATTTAAAATCAAAATTTAATTCAGAATTTAACTATTTCAAACGCAAGATACTAAATTCAAATTTGGTATTTTCCATAACCTACACTTTCTCAACATAAAATGAAGAAATAGACTGAAGTAATATGACTCAACATGTCTTAATATGATCTAATCTAAACAAAAGTAACCTGACTTAACCTAACTCAAACTAACCTTACGTAGTCTGCGTTGTCCTAACCTGATCTGACCCACCCACGGTCAAGAAAACCAAATAATCTTAACATACATCAGAACTTCGACAAATTGTCCACTTTCATCAGTAGGCACAAATGGTATCATAATAACCACTGTAAATATTAGAAGAAAGCGTATCAATGGTCGACAAGAGTAACATTGAATACATGTCTAAACATCGTAAACAATTTCGAAATTCGTAGTTCCTGCTCTGGCTACCAGAGTGCATTATCTCTCTGCTTTGTTATCTGTCCGTTCTTCTGCCAAAATAAAATGGACCGTAACTTACAGATGGAATATCCAAGGACCCGTGGTTGTACAACTCTTTGTAGTTGTTCTTGTGTGTAGAAGAGAGCCCTAACCTGGCGCCATTTATATCAGAAGCATCCTGAGTGAGCGCTCAGATATTTGTGAGATTGAATGAAACAAGTCGGAGAAGACAAATTGTGATGGTGTTTTGGCACGTTAAAAATGAAACCAGTTTGTGAGATTTTCTTTTGCATCAATGTCGCGTTTAGATTTGTATACAAACGTTTCCTATGAATGTGGTGGAGTCGTCTTTGCTACTGAATTACGGAGCGTAAAATTAGTTTATTTTTGTGCAAATGTCAATGTTACTTTACAAAGAAAAATATTACCTTACCTCTTGTGTGAGATGCAAGATGTCGTGTGTGAACAACAGACGTTCTGGTGGTTGTTGGTGGTTCGATCGCTCGCTTTATATTCACAAATTTATCGAAGGAGGCCACCTTATTTACTTAGAGCAAGGTTTTGTTATCAGCACAACGAGGAACAATGAGCTCCATCAATCTCTGATTGTATACGACATATCGTTTAATTGTTTCCGCTGTCAAAAATGTAGTTAATTTTGTGGTAATTTATGTTAAAATATTGTTTTGCCTCGAATGGACGTAAAGCATTTCCAATTGTTTCGAAGGCTACACGTGTGTTTAATGAGTGATAATACTTGTTTGTTGAAACTCGTTCCGTATAATTTCTCGGACTCAGTCGTAATGTCCGATTGTTATCACAAATAACCTTAACATTGTGTAGTGTCGTGTTGGGGCCCTCTCAATGGTGTCTCGTATGAGCGGCTCACGAGAGCTTAGGCGACTGCTGGGGACAGAATTCACAGCAAAACTGTTAGTGCCCTTTCACTTGAGTTTCGGTGAACCTGTGAGCCAGGCTCATGAGCCCTTATGAATCTCTTCCTGCGTCCAGAAAGGATCTCTGAAACGTCGGTAAACTTCTACCAGACTGCACGGCGTTGCAGCCCAGGAGACGGCTATCTTCAGACTCGCTGCCGCGAAATCTCAAGTCCTACTTGATTTGTGGTTTGGTACCTGTCAGTGAGGAATCAACTGATGCGAAAAGAATTTTTGTGTATCACCACTGACTCCACGTATCATCGTACATGTATCCGGCTAAACTACATTTTCTGCTGATTCCTCAATCAGCATTTAAAAAACACATAAATTCACTTTATCCCGTAAAGAGACTACATACTTAAGTAACATCCACAAATCAGTATCTAAATAAATAGACGTTCCTTTGTCTTCGAATGTATAGGAGATTGTACTAATATTATTTAATTAGATTTCTGCACAATTTGACTAATTATAAGGTGTCTTGCTATATATAAAATGTAATGATTCTGAAATTATATATATATATATATATAGTTAATATATGCTTACCTAAATCACTACATGCAAAGAATGAAACAAGAAGCATATTCCTTGAAGTTGTCTCATGAAATTTGTGAAGTCAGTCTTTACAGTAAAATGATTTATAGAAACTAATCCCATCGAATTCCCAACTTAATATGTACAGATATTTTTAATAAGTTTCATGCACAACGTATATTTCAAAAAAATTAAAATATCAATTTTCTCTAAATATCAGATCAGAGGTAAAAATTTGAAGCCCTTAAACCACAGCTGTGCTTAATACATTGGTGGAATAAGTAACTGAAAGGGCGTCGCATTACTTGAGCTCTGTATCTCAGTTAGTGCAGAAGTTAAGACATATTTTTTTCTAAAGAAGTGTTTTCTTGACAAATTTTGATATAGATAACCAGAAATCTAGTGGTCATAAAAACGGTAAAATTTAGTAGGAAAACTTGTCTCCATTGGAATTACAATCTCTCGAAAAATTATTTGATTCTGGGTGAATCCAGCTGAAAATGTCTCTTCTCTATGTTGCGTTGATGTGGAGAAATCCCATATACACATTTTTTGTTTCAAATGCTTTATCTCCAGAGGGAACAACTAGGACGACGCTTATGGCATCCGCTCCACATTCATGGTCTTCTGCCTCTGCAAGGACAAGGTCACAAACCGCATTTCTCTAAATTGCAAATGGGTCATTTTACGTCATGTGGCTTCTGTATTCTGTGAGCAGTGCCACGAAGTTTGAGGTTAGGTGAATATCAGTCACTGGAGTACTGAGGCAACCAGGCAGATGACCGAACACGAACACAAAGTCAGATGTTTGACGGACTGAGGAAGTGGAGGGAGTCTTACTCGGATACTCAGAACGATACAAATTACAATGGACGAATCATCGTTACTCAATATTTTTTCAGGTACGTGGTGACTGTGAACTGAAACTCAAATCGTACTCGGACGTTATGTTAGGTTGGAAAAGTTAGGTATTGGGACAACGATTAGGGTGAAGACAATGAGAATGAGTTGTGTAGACAGGCTTATCTTCATACTGCCACTTATGGTGAAGGTGACTCATTATCATGTTCAGTGGCCTGCTTGTTTTTAGCTAAGATCCATAAAAATGTCCCCACGTTAAGTAAAAGTAGAATAAGGACGAAAATGACTGTGGAGGGAGAAGACTGCTATCGTGTTATCTGCCTTTGCACATGAGAAGAAGCTTTGGTTGTGCCACTGAGAGCAGACTGGGTTATGGATGTGGAAGAATTTGCCCCTTGAAGTTAAGTGTTTGCGTGAGTGCGAGAACCAACAGCAACAAGAGACTGGAAGTAATCACACGAACGAGATTTTTGAGGTTAAGTTTGTACTGTAATGATACGTCCAGAGTCTTTGTTTAGCTGTACTCGTCATGTGGGTTTAACCCAGAAGTTCGGATTATTTCGTGTTCTAGGTTTGAGAAGGGGACTCCACGGGTGCGTTATTCCGCCTATAACATATTTTAGATTAAGGACAGGCATACACAGAGCTAAGAGCGCCTACCCAGTATTCCGTAATTCAAGCGCGTGCGGTTTTCACAGGACAACTGATGTTACCGTCGGGATGAAAAGAAACTTGGCAGAAAGTGTTGCTGAACTTCATTGGCCATGAAACCGTAACTGTAACTAGGATCTGTTGTGTGTTTATGCATTCATTTATCAGCCCGGATAGCGTTGTTAGTGACGCAACTCGCCAAAGGCTGGATGGATTTGAATCCCATTGCCTCACAGAGAATAATTTCTGTGTGAGCAACAAAAACTGCCAGCGAACAACTCATTTAATATGCACGAAAATTTAGAAAACTTGTAGTTTTACTTATATTTCGACGCCTTCTACCTTTTATTTTACCAATACGACGTGTCTCTTCGTGTGTCAGTATGTTCACGTAAAAACCTGTAACTCATCTCAGAAAAATGTTCTGATGTGCTTTGGATTCTATTGATCCGGCGGAAGGTCCAGGTTGAAAATTTTGTTTGAGTGGTAATGAACATTTGGGTTCTCTGACAGAACGTATTTCTTGATCAGCTGACTGGTGTGACAAGCAAGTCAACCTGAGGTCATTCTATGTTTCACTGTGAAATTGAGGACACAATTTCAAAGCCATCCATTTCCTGCGTTAAATTTTATATAACTAGAGCAAAGCGCTCCTTTCGGAGCTCCTTTCATCTACCAAGGTCATTCGGAAAAAAAGTGTAACGAAGACGGGCCACAAAATGCGTTTTAAAGTCTTGCGTAAGAAACTAAACAACCCCCCCCCCCGTTCGGGGTGGGGGTTAGTTAAGTGTTTGTTATTCGGTTCGCCGAAGCTTTGTCGAGTGTTCCAGAAAACTCGCCGAGAAATTTCCTCATTAAGAACTGCGTGGGAAAACAGTGTTCGTATCTGCGCAGATTCTGCGCGGCCTAGTAACCACGGCGACCTTGACTCGAGCGCCAAAGTCATGATTTTTTTTTGGGTTGCATTTTAAATTGTCACCTCATTATTTATTATTATTTTAGTATTCTGTCTGACGACAGGTCCATATGAACAGGATCCTTCCATCCTTTTCTCGGACTGGGACCTGTTCATATACGTTCTTGGCAGATGATCCAGAAGTGGTTTGCAATTGCCTTCTTCTGTGTGTGAATGGAATAATTGTTGGGATGCCACGGAGGGAAACTCCGTGTTGCCTAGACCACGGCCTTGCCCAACACAAGTTATAAATTCGGGCACAGCCGGGAATCGAACCCGAGACCCCAGGATTACAAGGCCAGCGTTCTAACCGCTAGACCACCGCGGCTTACTCTGTATTATGAAAAGTTTTTGAGATCTTGTCACCAGAACTGCAACAGCTGGTTTTTAATAAATTTTATTTTGTATGTAAATTTTTCTGAATTTGAATTCTGAACTTTACAGAACGGCTTAGCACAGCAGTGACGTGTTCTAATTCCATTCGGGAGGAAATCGACTCAGATGCCAGCCCTGAAGTAGCTGTCGGGTCGGTCCCTCATAATTGGCAATGAATTTTCCAGTTTATAACGATTCCTGGTTAATCGTGGCCGAACGGCTTATTAAATGACTTGATTCGTGCTAACCTTACGTCACAATGGCTTAACCCTCTTATCAGCTGATCCCGCGAGGTCCAAGGGTAAAGAAACTGGTGTGCGAGGTTTAAGCATGCGTGGAGCTTTGCCTCCAAAGCCGCATACGCCTTCAGGGCGTGGTGTCGAGGCGCGTATTTTCTTCACAATTTTACCTTTGACACAGAGCACGTTTAAGTTTGCTGCGTGTTATTGAATTCGGCTCCCAGAAAGGCTATGAATCTTCTGAATTTTGCAAAATATTAGGTCCGGTCCGTCCGCGTGTTTAGGAGCTGAGACTTTCTGAGTCGTGGATTCAAACGTGGACCCGGAAGCCGATAACTCAGACTGATCGCTCGTGTCTTTAGATTTTGCTTTGCAACGTTTTTCCAAATTCGATTTAATGAAAGAATAGAATATTTATTTTCAGTTTTGTACGACGTTATATGCATAAATATAATTTTTTTTTTACAAAATATTTCTGTTTTGTTGCAATGATTTAATTCCGAATGAATTTTCTTCCTTGTGTGTTCCACTCTTTTTTGGAGACCATTTCGACTGGTTTTGGTAACGTAAAGTATTTGTAGAAAAAGTTTAAATATTTAAGTTACAATATAATAATGTAGTAACTAATATTGCTTCCTTTTTTGTGCATGTGTACATTTGACGGAGTAGGATTTCAGGCGTGTCACGAAATCAAAACGGATTTTTCTACATCCTTAATCGGTCTTCGGAGTTCCCACAGTGCTCTGAAACAGACCATACCGAAAACTTCCAAACGACAAGCTGATATGAAGACCGTGTTTAACAGAGGGAAACAGTGACAAGGCCGGTAATTTCGTATTCCTTATTTTATGAAATCCGCTAAATAACCAGCTAATCCAATCAACAGATTCAGATAAAACGTTTACCATTAGTATCAATATCATAAGGAAACGGATAGCAGCAATCGGGAAAAATAAATCCGTCGGACCAGATGGCATCCCCGGGGAAATTTTAAAGT